TTGCCATTGGCGTATCACTTGTTATCAACGCTTACAATTCTGAGCTCGTACGCAGCGAAGTATAACTTTAGATACACTCTCACACAGCAGTACCTGTCAAAGCAAATTTTGCGTCGTTTTCCCTCAAAATTATCCTTGAAGTACCCTAGAAACCAATTCGTCTATCCGTCTGTGTAGAGGCATCGTCCACGGAAATTTGGGCCTCTTTTCGTGTCGGGGCCTTTCACCTTTCCTCGTCAAAGAGGAACCTTGTCGCAAGCCGTGGTATGCCCAATGACCGAGTTTCGACAAGGCCGTCGCAGCGACTCAATCCAAACCAAAGCCCTGCCTAAAGGCACAGTTCACGATAATTTTGAGGTACCTAGTTCAAGTGAAACTGCAGAAGTGATGGCGCAGAGAAGTGCAGAGGCAGCGTAAGAAGCGTGAAAATCTGCAGATTGAGAGAAATATAAAGTTTCTAAAAAATAGTGGAAAGAAGGGTTGTACGAGATATGACGATGGAAACGACAAGGAAGGGGTACTTGGACGATGGGTCGCTATTGAGTAATATCGTGTTATGTCGGCTACAGTAAGCAAAGAATGCTAAATATTGCTCTCCACTGCCGCCATGGGTCATGACTGCTGTTTAAACTTTCAACATATGTGCTCTATAGAGAATGGTGTAGCCTTCAGAAGGAATGTGAAACACGGTCACTTTTGAGTGTGAAGGTAGGCTATTCCGGTATTTGATCTCCTGTTGCGCCCTATCTATGCCGTTGGTTTAAACGACAGCGCCCCATATGGCATCCTTGGAGGTTACTGATTCTTCCTGATTGGGAACTTCAGAAAAAATTTTTATCGTGAACTGTGCCTTTAGGGACAATCTGGGGACAAAGGGGCGTAGGCAAACACAGCTTTGGATAGAACTTTTGAACCTGCAGAACACGTAGCAACATGTTGCATGGATATCTCTTGTTTTGCGCACTATTTCGAGCGATCTTGCTCCATTGCGAACTGTTCCTGAAATCGTCGGCGGGAATTTAAAGGTGATTTAGGAACCCCTCACAACACAAAAGAACAGTCCCATAGTTTCCGTGGGCGATACCTTAGCTTACATTAGCTCATATCAAATGAGGATATTCTAGGAGAATAGGGAGCCCGGTGAAGCCGAAAAAATGACCTGACCAACCTTTTTCTTTCATATCATCATCGTTAATGAGCATCATACCGGTGCTACTAGTCAGTTCATCTTCGCCTGATGATTCGTCCGCTTGACTGTTCATTCTGTAATACAGAGAAGTTATCAGATCTAATCATACCATAATCATTTTGTCAACAATAAACAACGGCTAAACAGAGCGGAAAAATCACATGGCATAGATTTGTTAGGTCGAGAGTTCATCTTTTTTTCTGAGGGTAAAACAGTCGCTTCTGTATCGCAACATATTCAGTGTAAGCGTCACATAAAAGCCGTGCCAAAGCGGGATTTCGAATGGAGCAGCGTAGGCGTGAGGCGATTTTCATAGCAATGATGAAAACACACGCACATAGAGGAGGAGGAAGAGGCAGTACCACCAGGTTGAATACGATATAATCTTTTACTGAAGAGGTCTTGTGCTGGTAGTGATGTTTTGTTGCTAAATATTATAAGACTAAAACTCTCGATGCCTTTCTTAAATGTGAATGTTCGAACGAGTTACCGACATACTCGGCACCGTTTTCACTTGCTGGAACGTCCGTGGGTATACTGATCTTATGTCCACGAGCATGATGTTTCAGCAGGAAGCGAACACAGTCTTCATGGTGGAAAGCACGAGCATCGTCTAGTGGAGTTCGACCCCATCTGAAGATAAATAAGGCAGCTGAATACTGATATGTTGGA